TTTTTTTTTTTTGGTATGAGAAATCAAACTCACAACCTCACACTTGCCAGGCAGTGTCCTTGACTCTATTCTTAAGTATCAAGACACATAAAACTCTACATATTGGGAGCTACTTCTCTGTGACATAACGAGGTATCTTTGGGATGGGACCGAAGACCAAACACAAATTTTACTTGTTTTATATGCACCTTAAGTGTATATAACAGTAACTTTATAGAGTATTTGTGGTACAGCTGCTTTGATTGTGACTTTTCATTTGAAGGTAAATGTCATTTCTCACTGCCACATCATCTTTCTGCTCAAAAATTTCAGGTTTTGGAGCATTATGAACTTCAGATTTTTGCATTTGAGATGATCCACCTGTATATTATGTAAAAATCTCCTTAATAAAGAAATATTTTCAATGGTTTTTAAAATAAGACCATTTTTATGGCTTGACCTAGACAAAGGATAGTTCCCACTGGTGCTGTGCATGTTTTAGGGGCAAATCTGGTTCCAATCCTGAACTGTTATATACAAGCCTCATGACCTTTATGAAAAGGGTGTATTAATCGGAACTCTGTCTCTCACGCTTGTTGCCATGGAGGTAGGGTTCCAGACAGCCTTCTGGTTTCTTGAGTGAAATGATTATGGCATGGAATGATAAGAAAAAGCAGCACTGTTAATCAACTGACCGAATGCACAGAGTGAGAGGGCACACACCAGTGGAAAACAAAGCGGCACAAGTTACAAATTTAAAATGTTGCACAAGGTCTAGGGCATCTCCCATTGGATCTTCCAGAACATGATTGACAGGATACTGAGTCAAGTCAACTGTCTACTGTGAATTACTTCCCATAATGCACTCAGTTATAATTGGATGCATGCGATGCAGTAAGAGAACCTTCAGTGAGCTCCAGGTCAAGAAAGATTACTGAAGGTCATGCAGGTGAATCAGCTATGTGTGCTTCCTGATTTGGGACTTTGGAGCTTGCCAAGGCAGGCCTACGGGTCTTTTTTTTTTTTTTCCCCCATCTCTGCCTTTTGGCAGTAGGGCTTAGAAAAACAATGAGCAGAAGGACTAGCAAGATAGCTCAGTAGAAGCCTGCTTAGGCAAGCCCAGGGCCCAGGGTTCAATCCCCAGTACCACATGTGCACCAGCTACAGCCACAGTCCCGCCCCGGGGTACACTGAGCCAGAGACAGAGTCCATGTGTGGTGGCACACACCTGTAATCCCAGCACTAGGGAGGCTGAAAACAGGATGATCACTGAGTCCCAGTTGCATAGTGAGACCCCGTACCAAATACATAAAAAAATAAAAAATAAACAGTGAGCAGGTTGGCCCTGGAGTGTTGTTCAGGTTCAGGTGTGTGGAGAGGAGTGGTCCTAGAGCCCAAATTGTACTACCTGTGTTAGAATTGTATAGAAGTTAAATGAAACCCTGAAGGCTAGGCACATGGTAAGCATTCTTTAAGGGTGAGGGGTTGTGGGCTAATGGCTTAGATAAGCCAAGCAATAGCAAATACGTGTGACCCCAGTCTGACAGAGATTTCGGACCGCCTTTCACACACCGTGACAGCTCGTTTGAATCACAGCTCCTTTCTAGAAGGGCAAGCAGGTGCTCTCCTTGCGCTCAAGTGCAGCACAGCATAGCACAGGACTTGGTCCAAGATGGTGCAACTGCGTGGGGTTGAGCCTCACAGCAGAAGCTGGCTCTGGTAGTTAGCAGCTCAGTCCTATTTCCTACCCTAGGCTGGAAAAGGGTGAAGCTGAGAACATTGGGCTTTTCGGGGTGTGTGTAACTGTTAATACCCAAGCTGTGTTGAAAACAATGCATGTTAAATAAACAAGTATCAGTCAGCATACGAGCTCCACTGGGGCAGGAGCCTGGCTTACTGTATTCGTCATGCCATCTGCAGACTCTAGGTAAGCACTCAGTGCATATTTAAGGGGATAAAACTGCCAGGTATTTTCTGAACTGTTTCTGCATCTCTGTGATTGACGAATCAGCCCGCCTGCCCAGCTGTTTGCCATGCCCTAACCTCATGCCTCAGTTTCTCTTAACAGTTCTACTAAAATGAATCATTTTAGATAGTTTTGATCCTTTAGTTTCCTTTTAGTGAAAATCAAAAGAATTTGGAAAAAAAAGTGTCTCTGCCCACTATGTTAAAAAAAATACGTATTTTGAGTACTTAAAAAATATTTTCAGGGCCAGGGAGATGGCTCAGTAGAATAAGCGCTTCCCTGGCAAGTGCAAGGGCCTGAGTTCAATTCCTGGTTCTGCAAAAAAAAAAAGGTTCTTAAAAAGATATTTTCAGAAGGACAAAAATGTGAGTGTGAAATTCATTGCTGATATTTATGAATTAAGCTTTCTCAGAGCAGAAATCTTTATTTTTAGATATGGTGGCATATCTGTTCATGGTATTTGAATGACTGTAGCAATCATTTTTATTCTTTGGTAGCTTCTGCGAGAACATTGTGCGCCTCTGCCTGTGGCCGAATGCTGGCCCCTTGTGGGTCAGTTTTCAAGTATTGGCTCTTTGGGAGCTGATGAATCCAAATGGTTATGTTCTGAGTTCAAAGAGAGCTTGCTGACAGGGGGACCAGAAAGCAAGCTTGCAGGGAAAAGCTCTGCTCCTCTGCACTTGGTGAGTTTTCTTCTTGTTTGGGGGTGGGGGTTGAGATTGCCTCTTGCTACGTAGCTCAGCCAGGCCTTGACTTCGCTGTGGAGCCCAGGCTGTGAACTTAGGGCAGTCCTCCCGCTTCTGCCTCCAGAACACTGGGGTTACAGACATGCACCCCAAGCCCAGCTAGTTTTCCCCTTCTTGAGTTAATTTACTTTTGTTCTCTAGGCCAGGAGAAGTAAGAATCAATTCCTCTTGTAATAAAGAGTTGCTCGATTCTGTCATTTGGGGCAAGGGGATGTGGAAAGAACAGTATGTTGTTACCATTTGCAGTTGCCTAGCCTTAACGTGGTCCAGTGCAGAGCTTGCTGGCTTTAATTAGGAGCTGCACTTTAGTCACAGAGTAGCCTGGCATTCTTTTTTCAGGCTGTCAAGCCAAGGAAAAAATATTTGGTGTAACATTGCCAATGGAACTATAAGCACTATTAATTACTTAGAGCTCTGCGAATTAATAATTAATTTCACATTGATGTTAATTCGAGATTTCAGAAAAAATATTCAAATCAGTGTACTATTTCATCAAATAGATAAATATACATCCTGTAGTTTTGTCATTAGAAGTTCATTTTTTTTCCCATAAGCTGGGAACTTTTTTAAATTTTAAAGCATATCTTCTAAGTTTTTTAACTAAGCATTTTTATGCTTTTACTTGGATATTTATAGCATCCTTGTGTATAGTTGTCAAAGAGAGATGATGAGGATGTCTTACAATAGATGAATGAATAAATAAAATACAGTATATTCATCCGATAGAATGTTAGTCACTGATAAAAACAAACATAAGTACATATTACTAAATAAAATAAGCCCATCTGTAAGGGCAACATGAAGTGTAACAATTCAACTATATGACACTGAAAAAGGCAAAATAATGGTGACATTGAAAGGGTAGTTCATTCTTGAGACTTCCATTTTTGTAAAAGTTGGCCATCCTTTCTTTTTTCAACATAGTACATTATAAATTTTATTGTTTTTCTCTTTTCCTCATTTTTAGGTCTACCCTTCTGTGGAAAATGTGCGGACCAGCTTAGAAGGATATCCCGGTAATTGCTGGGGAAGCAATCTCACTTGCAGTTTTTGTGTTGATTCCACAAATTCCCTGGTAGAATTTTTACCAGTATTAAAACTGGGCTAGAAAGCATTGATTAGAAATGTTGAGATGGCTTTCTCTTCGTTGGACAGGGAACTACCATGAAAGTGGGTAGTGCTGAACCCCACTGTGTTCTGAAGGTGTTAACCACTGTTAGGTCACTAGAGTAGGACAATCTTCACGGTAACCCAGCGCACACTTATCCTCACTTTTACCAGTAAGGTGTCCAATAGGCAGTTGTCCAAACGAAAAGTTCAGATAAAATCATCTTCCCCTAGGACTTGAAGCCTTCCTGCACGTGTCTAATATACCTTTAAATCCTTGAAATTTGAATACCTGATACAGGTATAGTTAAGTTCTGGAATGTATGAATAATATTACCTTTGGTGTAACTTAGTTATGTGTGCACTCTTTGAAGGGCTTTCTCTGAGAATACCTTAGCAGTACCTTGTAAACATTGACCAGCCCTGTTCTCCATGTCCATGATCCCAGCGGTAGTGCTAAACTTTTATGTGGACTTCACAGCACTGTTTATAGTGCAGCCGGGAAGTATCAGGCAAAAACCCGGGAGCATCTGCCTCTGAAGAAAGCGAAGTCTAATTGATGTTCACTGATGGCTAAAAGGAGAAGTCACCGAATTAAGACTAATTTAGTCCATTTATTGCTATCAAAGTAGATGTGACCCTGCCAGGAAAAGAGTCTCAAAATTCAGAATGTATTAGCCCATTTGCTGCTGCTTAATGGCAGCACTAAAATTGTTTCCCTGTGATTCAGGGACGTGATGGTTTTTCTTTTGTCAGCTTGCTGTACCTCTAACAGGCTGGACCCACTCAGAGTGTACTTCCTAATGAGGAAGTGCCTGGTCTTTTCAATAAAACTATTTTATAACTGGCTCTACGTGGAGAACATTTTTAGTTATTTTCAGTAGGAGTCAGAACATGCCCTGTTCTGTGTCGGAGTCACTTAAAGCCCTCACTGGTTACAGATTACTATGGCGAAGGTTCAGTGTGTGTTTGGAAAGCTACTGAGGAATCTATAGTATAGTCTTTGTCCTTTTCAGGGATGAACCAAAATTGGCTTCTAGTTGTGTAGGAGTTGCTTCAATCTCTTAGAATTCCTATTTACTGAACATGTTAGTTGATTTCCCAGACCTTCTCACCTGTGAGTGGCTGTCAACTGGCACAGAGCCTGTTTGCAATAGAGAAGCAGGAAAGTGAAGCAAGCAGGAGATCCGGGTTTTCATTGTAGGCAGCCTCCCTGAGAGCTCTGGTCGTGAGCAAACACCAGCCCTCCTGCCTGCCACAAGACAGTAGGACAGGCTTTATCCTTTTCTAGCACTTGAAATCAGTGTAATTTAGCTTATGGCCGCTGAATTATTTTTTAAAATGCCTCTTTTTTTTTTAGCTAATGAACATTTTAAATATTAATTTCTTTTTTCTTTTGTTTGCTTTTTGGATGTTAGTAAGGATCTAGAGTCTACAAGGTCTCATTACATAGATCAGACTCATAGTGATTCTCCTGTTTTCAGCCTCCCCAGAGCTGGGATTACAGGCATGCACCACTATGCCCAGTCTCAGTCACCTGCTCAGTGGCGCCCCGGGGGCTGGGCTGGCAAGGCATGCCATATTTAAATATTTCTTATTCTCAAGAAAGGAAACCCCATTAAGAGAAGGTACCTGAGCCAAGGAGATAGCTCAGCAGTCCAGGTGCCTGCCTGGCAAGCGCAAGGACCTGGGTTAAAAATCCCTGGCATCACATGCAGTGCTGCTGTGCTGGTCACTAACATTGGCCATGGTGGCGCACACCTGCATCCCAGCACTGGTGAGGCTGAGACAGGAGGATTACTCCAGGTCCGAGCTGCATAGCAAGACCCTGTACCAAATAAATAGATAATTTTTTTTAAAAAAGAGAGTGTACCTAACACAAGAATAGACTTTGTTTTTTGGTGTTTTTTTTTTAATTTGTTTTGGAGTTTTTTTAGCGGAACTAGGGATTGAACTCAGGCCCTTGCGCTTGCCAGGCAAGTGCTTATTCTACTGAGCCATCTCCCCAACCCCACAAACAGACTTTCTTGCAAGTCAGTAACCCATAACATGAAATAATGGAAGTAGTTGCTTTTCATTTACTTTTTCACCCTTTTTTTTTTTTGGACCGGGGATTGAACTTAGGTCCTGGTGCTTGTCAGGAGGGTGTTTCTTACTGTTTATTATAAATTTTCTTAATGAGAAAGCTTCTAATGTTTCATTATTTTTATTTATTTATTTTATTTTTCTTTTAAAAGCTGGGGGCTCTCTTCCCTACAGCATCCAGACAGCCGAGAAACAGAACTGGCTCCATTCCTACTTCCAGTAAGTGATTGGCTTAGAATGCCGCTATTACTTCTTTAGAAAAAAGACTGTTATTTATGTCAATCTGTTTTTTAAAAAAGAACCTTATATAATATAGCTGTATCCTTTCATCTACATATGTTAGTGATAGAAATAATTTAAAACAAGGTTTGGAAATGTTTTTGGAGTAGGTTTTTAATACCAAGAGTAAAATTTATCTCCATAAGGTTTCTATTTAAATATTGGCGTGCAAAGAAAAAGATAAATAAAAGATCACAGCGGATGGTTTTAGTTCTCAGCAGTACCATTTCAGTTCGCTTTTCTGAAACACAGACTGTGATTCTTCAACCTGTGATGACACGATGAGGGGCAGTGCACTTGCTGAAGACAGAGCCATGTCACTGTCCCCGGGACAGGACAGGGTTTGGTGCTCAGACTTCAGTAAATGTTAGATAAGGGGAAGGTGGAGGAATAGACCAGTCTCGCCCCTGCCGGCCTCAGTGGATAGCCCTTGTGCCGGGGAGCCGGACAGAGGCAGGTCTGCATTTCAGGGTGTCCCGCGGAAGCCCGTCCCTGGTGCTTTGTGGTCCCTGGTGCTGCCGTTCAGTGTCACGTGACCGAATTCACTTGATGGGAGCGAGTGGTGGACCTGCCTGATCCTGATTCTGTTGTTCTGAGCCAGCAGTTACGCTGAAGGAGCATCCTCTCCCAGGCATCAGAAGAGAGCAGGAGCATAGGGATGGAGCCCTTAACACGTGTGAGGCCCTGGGTTCTGTCCTCAGTGTAGCAGGCAACAAAGTAAAAACTTGTGTTAGTACATGTTTACAGTACATCGTGACTGCGTCCATTTGGGGAGCTGGTGCCTGCACACAACACATCTTACTTCCTTTTACACCTCCTTGCCACTTCTTAGATTTCTTGGTCCCCTTCCCATCTGCAAAGGTTCTGTCTCCTGGAGTAGAGAAAGGCATAATTAAGAATCACTTTCATCCCCCTTTATACCCATAGAACCTTTATTTTACATCATTGGAAACTTACAAAACTAAAACTAAAGCCCTCCTCCATTGTCCCTTTGCTTTTCAGCGCTCACCTGTGATTTTTGCCCTCTCTATTCGTTTCATTCAACAAGCTCTTGCAGAGTCTGTGCTAATAAGTGCATTTCGAGGCCGTGACATGTACCGTAAGAGCCCACAGCTCAGCAGCAGGCACATGCACACATGGGGGTAAAAGCAGCACGAAGTGTATATGCACAAGTGTGTGTTTGTGGGGGAAAAGACCAGAGGGTGTGGCACTTTGTGAGTGGTAATAAATTTTGTACATATTTGCCTTCTAAAATGAACATGTTATTCTGTTAAACAGTCTAATAAATGATCGTAGGTCACAACCATGTCCCTACTGTTTTTTGTAAGTTTGCCTTTTCATTTTTTTTTTCTTACAATACTGTAAACTGAATCCAGGGGCTTCTCGCTTAGCTCCATCCCCAGCCCAGCCTTTATATTTTGAGATATCTCACTAAGTTGCTGACTTGCCCAGGCTGGGCTTTGACCTTCAGTCCTCCTGCTTCAGCCTCCCAGAGTGCTAGGGTTGCAGGCATTTGCCAACATGTCTAGCTATACTGCTCTTTACATTACAGTATTTTGCTTTTCATGCAGTTCTCTAATTATTAGGATTGTAACTGATTTGTATGATCCTTCTAACCAGTGACTTCTGTCCCTCCTGTCACTAGCAAGTGGTCAGCTGAGACATCTGGCCGCAGCAATGCCATGCCACACATCAAGACTTACATGAGGCCCTCTCCAGACTTCAGCAGACTTGCCTGGTTCCTTGTCACAAGGTAGATGGTTTCTGTATTCTTGACGGGAGGAATTTTTAACATGTGTTACAACCCCCTGCTCTGAATTTTGAATAGACTTCTAAAAAGTAGTTTGTGACTTGACTTTTGTAGATTCTCAGCCTGTTTGTGTCAATGTGAGCCTCATCCAAAGGAGGCCCATGACGAACACCTGAGGAAAGTGTGCCTGGTTTTTCTCATATGTCTAGATGTTGATAAGATTTGTGCAAACTTAGCATTTACTTTTGTTGCTTCACATTTTAACCAACAGCATGTTGACTTTTTAAAATTTATTTATTAATGTATTTGGTACAGGGTCTCACTACACAGCTCACACTCCTAGTGAAAATGAACTTAGGGCAGGGTCTACAGGGTGTACATGGTCTCACTACTCAGATAGGACTGGTAGTGATCCTCCTGCTTTCAGCCTCCCCAGTGCTAGGATTACAGGCACGTGCCACCACGCCCAGGTTTCTGGGCAGCACAGTGCGCCTGGGTTGGGGCGGGCACAGCACATGGTGCCGGGGTCTAACCCCAATCCCTTTGCTTGCCTACGCTGGCACTTAGTCTGCTGAGCTATCTCACCAGCCCTGCATACTAGCATTTAGAATAAATAAAAAAGACAAATGAAAGACAATTCCTGTTTTTTCCTTTTTTAGTTTCTCCTTAGGTAGAGCAATCAAATCTCTTGAGTCCTTTTTAAGAACACCTTTGTTAAGAAACACTTTGCATATCAGATTTACCCATTTAAAGAGCACAATTTAATACTTTAGTACATTGACAGAGTTGTATGCAATCAGCACCAGCATTTAACTTTATTTTGGTTTTTTGAGACAAGGTCTCGCTGTGTAGCGCAGGCTGGCCTTGAACTCTCAGTGATCCTTCTACCTCAGACTCCCGAGTGCAGATATTACAGGCGGACACCATCCTGCCTGGCACCATCATTTAACATTAGAATATTTCCATCTTCCCTGTAAGAAACCCCTTACCCACCATCATCTTTGTGTCTCTTTTTACAAAAACATAAATAGGTTTTTCTTTGAACCTTAGTTCCTAATTCCTAGTCTGAACTCAACCCCTGAGTATCTCTCCATGCTTTAGTAACATAACCGAGGCCGGGCATGGTGGCTCATACCTGTAATCCTAGCACTCGGGAGGGTAGCCTTGAACTCACTATATAGCCCAGACTGGACTTGAACTCACAGCTGTCCTCCTGCCTCACCTCCAGAGTGCTGGGATTACAGGCATGCACCACCACACCTGGCGGAAACTTTTGCTTTTAAAGAGAGCAGCTTCCTGCATGTGAGGGCCTGAACAATAGGTTCCCTGGATAGGGAAGTCATTGCCTGAAGCAGAGAGATACAAAATACCAGAGCAGTTATTATAAATGTTGCTAAAGTGATGAGAAGTTACGTATTAATGCCAATGCTGCCCGGCCTTCTACTAAGGTAACCAATAAAAATCTGAGAATCCTGAACAGTCACGCCACATTTTAGTGTCCGCTCAACTGTCTTTTCAGTAATTGTCTTCTTAAACCAAATTACTAAATTCTAAGTAAAAGGAAAACAAATTAATTAAAAAACTGGCTTTTAAGCTAGTCTGTATGTGGCCTTCACTGATTATATACTCTGGTAAGTTAACAGAACGAGGTGAGATAACCTGCCTGCTTCCATCCCTAAATGCCCTGGGCACATTTTCTGAGTAGTAAACTGTCACAAGCCCCTGACTCTGTTGTTTGCTTCTTGTCAAAACTTTAAATGATGGTTTTCCTCAATCAGGTATGACAGCTTTTTCTAAGTTAGGATGTTTCTCCTGTGTTTATAGTAATCCAGGCTCTTGCTGAAACTATTCACTTGCATAAATGTTGAGTTGAATTTGAAGACTACATTTCCAACTTTAAAAATTCTCTCACCTATTAACTTAGCAGTCTAGTTTTTCCCCACATACAGTAAAAACAATATAGAAAAATACCAATTATTTAGTAAAAACCGTCTTATCTAGCACCCTGTTTTTTTCCTACTAGGAATCCTGGAGCCCAAAGATACTAAATAAAATATCTCAGACTATATTCACACAGAGGTGACTGCAAAGTTTTGTTTTTGTTTAGGGCATGAAGTTCACCTTTTCTCCCAGGTGTAAGAGGGTATTTAAGTTCTTTATTTGAGTTCTCAGTGTTGGTCTCGGGAGTTCGGTAAAGACAGAAGGTCTGGTGCTGGGGTTCTGAAGATAAAGAGCAGAGCTTATTTGGAAGGGCCAGCAGTTCTCTTAAACTTTGTACTGTCCAAGATTTTCTAGAGAAACAACAATAAAGTGTGTGTGTTGGGCTGGCAAGATAGCTCAGCAGACTAAAGTGCCTGCTTAGGCAAGTGCAGAGACTGCAGTTTGATCCCTAGCACCACATGCCATGCCAGGCCCACCCCTAGGGCGGGCTGAGCCAGCCAGACTCCAGGCATAGTGGCGCACACCTATAATTCCAACACTGGGGAGGCAAAAGCCGGAGGATCACCATGAGTCAGAGCTACATAGTGAGACCCTGTAAAACCAAATACAAAAAAAAAGTGTATGTGCATGCATGTGTGCACGTGCACACCCATGTGTGCGTCCTCTTGGAGAGGGGCCATTTTTATTTTAAGGATCTGACTCATGTTATTGTGAGGACTGCCCAGTCCAAACTCCACAGAGTTCCATATCTTGGATGTGTTAGAAGCCTGGACATGTTGGTAAGGGTTGATGCTGCAATCTTGGGTCTCTTTCTCCAGTATTTGAGAGACTGGGTGTGGTGGTGCACGCCTGTAATCCCAGCTCTTAGGAGGTTATAAACAGGCGGATCACTACTAGTCTGATCTAGTAGTGAGAGCGTGAACACCCTGTAGACCCTTTCCTTAAAAAAAAAAAAATCCAGTATTTGAAAATTTGGATGTAATGTATTTAGAGATTGTTTTCCCTCAAACTAGAGTAAAAAAATAAAATGAATACAATTCACAGAAATTGCATTAATATGATTAAGGTTCTCAATGGAAACAGATTACACTAGCAGTGTGAATAATCCTTTTCTAAAGGCAATGTTGCTGTAGTCCAGTTTAGGGGCAGTTGGGGCTTGGCCCTGGGGACACAAACAATGAGAAGGCATGACACTTAGCCTGGCTGTGACCCTGTGTGGGGACTGTATGGAAAGCCCTGCTAGAGATGGATTCCTTGTTAGGGCAGGGGCATGTGGGCGAGAGATGAGCCAAAGCTGAATAAGCAGGAGGTGTGAGCGGCGCAGCTGGAAGGTACCAAGGACCAAACCTGGCGCACTCGGGATCCAGGCAGAGGGGTTAACAGGACAAAGGTGGCATGGTGGGGCAGGGGCAGTGCATGACATTTTCAAGGGAAAGCTGAGTGACTGTGCAGCTAGATTTTTTTTTTTTTTTAAAGAGTGATTCAGATAGATTCAGAATGGGTATTGTAGTTGTGGTTGTGGTTATTGTTGTTTTGCAGTGCTTGGGATCAAACTCAAGACCTTGCACTTGCCAGGCAGGCACTTTTGCTGCTGAGCTATCTTCCCGGCCCTAGAATGAATTTTCTAAAACAAGAGGACGTGTGTTCTTACAATTAAGGGGAAAAGCACCCATTGTCAATTTGTCCTTGGAGGCCTGGTGGTTGTTTTACGCTATGTGAATGCCTGCTTTCGTGTTAACTGGCTGCTGCTAAATTAAATTCATTATAACTTGAAAGTTCATTTCTTTGATGAACTTGAAATTTGTCAGTATAGAGTTGCAGCTTCTAATTTCATTCTGGAATAACTATAAGTTACCTACATGCCAAAGGGTTTTTGTTTTGTTTTGTTTTGTTTTTAATTTTTTTTTTTTATTTTTCAACAAATAATACACTGCATATATTCTTCTTAGTGGTTAATTGCTGTACAAGATGCGGACTTGTGATCCTACCAAAGGGTTTAAAGAATAATTTCAGCAGCATTCATTGGGTGATTGAGATTTCCAGGCACTATCCTAAGTGTTTTAGGCGAGTTCCATCATTCCGTTCTCACAGCAGCTTTGCAAGGACTCAGGGGCACAGAGCAAGACATCGTCCCCCAGGTGGTTCTGGGGGAACCCAGAAGTGACCGAGGCTTGGGCTCCCGAGCTGGCCCTTCTCATCTCTTTGGTCCTTGCCCTCTGGTTAAAAGAGAGTGGCAGCATGCCTGCTTCCTACAAAGATCAGTCAGCTAAGCCAGAAAAAACTGTGCTGCATGTACTTTGTTGTATAAAAAAGGAAAGCAATGCACAGAGAATTCCATCATCATTAAAGGATTCCTAAGAACCGTAAATAACTCAGAAAAACCTGGACTGTGTTCTTTCAGTCCTTCCATGCAGGAGAAATAGACCCCAAATATAAGTGGTATCTGCCGATAAGTAAATCCTTTGGCCTTTTTTTGTTGTTGTTGTTGTTGTTGTTTTGTTTTTTGGGGAGGTCTGATTTTTTGGTCACCTAATCTCAAAGCCAGAACATTCCCAACCTGAGCTCACCTTGTATATAATTCTTTTCCTGTAGCATCGTTCCTTGCCCCATGGCACCTGCCCTTTCTCCTCACAGGCTCAGAACCCAGCCCCCCCTTCCGCTTTCCTTCCGTAGAACATTCTGCATGCACAGCATGCTCTGAGTTTTTCCTGTGGGTGCTAAGCATGTGGGAGAACAGTGGGAAGATGTGGACATTGCCTTTGGGATGCTCCCAGCCTCAGACATGAAAAGCCAGATAAAGATGATTGCAATTGTGAAAGATCACGTCTGTACGTGAGAAGGGCACGCGGGTGCTTTGGGGGTGGCTATGCAAACTTTGAAGTGCTTCAAACTGAATCCCAGCAATTGCCAGGTCCAAAACTTACCTCTTGGGCTTCAGAAATGGTCTCCTGTAGGTGCCCATTACCATTCATCTTTCTGAAACAGATTTTCCTCATTTTGCAGTGTTCAGAACCCCCACATGCTAAAGCCTGTAAACTTCAGATTCTTGAGTTCGGCATTCA